AGGAAGGAAGGAAGGAAGGAAGGAAGGAAGGAAGGAAGGAAGGAAGGAAAGCAAAGAAAGAAAAAACAACCTAGACCGCCGCCATAGTGAAATATTATAAAGAGCCACCCACCATGGGCTAATTCTAATACACGGCCCATTTTAAAAATCAGAAATACATCATCTCCTCTTTCCTACCCTCCCCCATTTTTATTTCCTAGGTGCTCACACCTCACCGGGGGCTCCCAAGTCCCTGCCTTCTTGGTCCAACACAGTCTTGTTTATATTTTATTGTCCAGATTTTAAGACCCAGTTTTGTCTGCATTTTTCCCTTCCTCCCACAAACACAACATCAAAATGAGATGGTTTCAAAGCGAAGCGCCGAGCCTGTCGTAAACTCATTACCTCCAGACGTCTCGCCGGCTCGATGGCTTTATGACACCTTGGCTCTTCCTGTTTTCAAAGAGCCCTAGGTATCGGGTTGGCCGCAGGGGCGGGGGGTACGCTGCACCTTCTGCCGGATCTGGGCCTTGGCTTTCCCTCCCAGCCCCCCTCTGCTTTTCCTTCAAGTCCCCTCTTTCATCAGGATCCCCCCAAACTCTGCCATCGCCCCCCCTTCCGCCCAGCCCAGGCCACCCGGTGCCACCCACTCTTGGGCCTGCAAGGGCTGTGCTGGGCCCGAACCTTCACTTACAATGACCTTCATTTTAGCCCCTGAATGCGGCCCTCAGAGGGCCAAACTGGGGGCTAAACACGCACTGGAACTGAGCTGGGGGGGAGGGGGGCGATGAGATGGGGTGGGGATAGCTGCGGAGGAGAGCCTTGACCACTTCGATCTGCTAAGGTCACTTTGGGGCTCGTGTGTGTACGGTGGAAGCTCACAGCCTAACTGGCTCAGCCCTCCCGGAGCCAGCCAGCCTGTTGAGGTGGGGGAGTTGCTCCAGAGTGCAGAGCTGGCCTTTCCCTTGTTTAGAGAGGGGACTGGATGGCTGGTACTCCATGAACAGAGGGAGACATGGGGTGCGATGTGCCCACGCCCCAGCAAGAGGGTGCCTGGCTTCTGGGGCCCGTGGGCTCCACTGGGCACTGCTGCAAGGCTGTCACTGGGCCTAGGTTCCAGAGTTGGCTGAGAAGCTGGAAGCAGGCTGGGGGAAGGACAGAGCAGCCAAGGGCCCCCCTCTGCCCACACAAAGGGAGACTCAGAGGCACATCAGACAGACCGCTCAGGTGGAAGGGCCCCAAATTTTTAGCAGTGTCTCCCTCCCAGGGATGGGAGGAAGTCCTGTGGGGGTGGTATTTTGCAAAGAGACAGAGAAAGCAGGCACAGAGTGTTCAGGGCCAGCGCCTGGGCTCCATTTGATCAGGTCAACCTTTATTGGTAGGAAGCGGTAACATTTACAACTGGTCCTCAGGCAGGAACCAGGAGGGCCCGCACCCGCGGCCGCCGACGCAAGCCGAGCCCTCCCCAGGAGAGCCTGGCTGCTCCAGTGCACTGAGAATAACCCCCCACCCACCAGAGGCCCTGGGTTGCCCCCTCGGCCTCATTCCAGGTCTCCGGGAAGGGCCCGCGGGCTCCCTGAGGAAAGGGGACTTTCCTAACTGCTGGGCAACCTGGGCGGGCCTCCCACTGTTGTCGCTCTGCCTTCATTCTCAGAAGTGGGGCGCATTTGGCCCCTGCTTGAGCAGCGCTGGGGGCTAAACTACAGCACTTTTCAGAAACATAGGGGACATTTACACAGGAGAGGGCTCCTCAATCCAGCGTGCACCCACAAAATATAGCATTTCCTATGGAACCAACGGTCCAGGAAAGGGAGGGAGCAGGAAAAGGCAAAACCCCAAAGCACTTCATTTCTCCAACACAGAAGCGAGCAAATACAGAGTCCCTCAAATACCTCACAGAGACCAACCACACAGTCACTTCTACCTAAAAGGGGGTGGGGGGGAAATGTCCGAATCGCTGGTGAGTTTCTGGAAATCAAGCACCCACAAACAAAACCCCCACTGCCTCTGCAGCGCAGAGTGGTCCCACCGGCGCCATGCCGGGTCAGTCTCCTTTGGGGCATTTCTCCTTGCTCATCTTTTTCATTTTCATTCTACGATTCTGGAACCAGATTTTGACCTGTCTCTCTGTGAGGTTCAGAATCCTTGCCACCTCGTAGCGCCGGTCCCGGGTGAGGTACATGTTAAAGAGGAATTCCTTCTCCAGCTCAAGCGTCTGGTATTTGGTGTAGGGACAGCGCTTTTTCCGGGTGGAGCGAGCGTGGATCCAGTTTGCTGCAGGGTTGTCTATGAAGGGGGGGGGTGGAGAAAGGGATCGAGGGGCGGGGGGGGGGGGGAAGGAAAGACGACAGGGTGGGGGAGAGAGGTCGTTAAATTAATTTCACCAAGGATGGCCGCTTTTCACAACTTGGGGGGAATTATCATAAAAAGCCTTAATGCCCGCGCTCTGTTTACCGTACAAACCTCGCGCCTAGGGTAGGTGGTTATGGGAAGCTTTTTATGGATGCGTGTTGCTCGCCTAGGCTAGAGTAGGCGTCTAGACGTTTTTATAGGTTAGTAAAACTATCAGTTTTGCACATTCGAGCCTTACAGGTTTCAGCAATAAATCAGGGGGCAATTTCTTTTGCACTTACTTGGGTCAAGTTGCTGCTGCGGCGGCTGCGGATGCGGCTTCTCCTCCTCCTTCAGTGGGCAGCCTGGGCTCGGGTGGTCGCTGCAAGCCGAGGGCTCCGACGAGCCGCCTGCCCCGGACCCGGACCCGATCCCTGCCCCGGGCCCGGTTCCCCCAGCCGCCGCTGCCGCCTTGTCCCGCAGGAACGAGTTGCAGGAGAACTCGGGGCCGCCGCTCCCCTGGGACTCCCGGGCCGCGGAGCACTCAGTCCGTTTGGAAGAGGAAGACGTGGAAGTGGAGGAGGAGGTGGAGGTGGCGGCGACAGGGGTCGGGGCCGCTCCGGTTTCTGGCTTAATCCCGTAGTGGCGCCCGTTGGGTGGACCGCTGGGGCCGGGGCTGGGACCAGGGCCCGGGCCACCTCCGCCCCCGCCGCCGCTCCCGCCGCCGCCCGCTCCGCCCGGAAAACCAGGCAGCGGCTCCATCCAGGAGCGCATGTAGCGGCCGGGCTCGGAGGCGGCGGCGGCCAGGGGCGGCGGGGGCACGTACGGGTGGTAGAGGCCGCTCATCGCCGCCGCCGCCGGGGGCTGGGCGGGCACCGCGGACCACGAGGCGGAGAACACGGCCGATTTGGGGGCAAAACTACACGAGGCAAACTCGGCGGCGGCAGCGGCCGGGCTGTCGGCCACACCTGTGGGCCTGCCCTGCGCGCCGGGCCCCGGCGGTCCAAAGCGCGCAGCGAACACCTCGTCGCCCTCATGGCCTATGAGCGAGTCCACGTAGTAGTTGCTGAGGGTGCCACTGGAGGACATTTTGAGGCGCCGTGCGCTCCCACCCAAGGTTACACTGCCCGCCGCGGCGCCGCTCCCCGCCGGCGCCCGAGCCGCCGACTAGTTCGCAGGCTGCAGCTTCCACCATTGGTCGCGCGGCCCACGTGATCATATTTACCAATACCGGGAGTAAATCAGTCCGCTAAACTGGGGGCTGCTGTGATTTAAAAAAAAAAAAAAATCATCATCAACATAAGCGCCGCAATTAGAGCCGATGAGCCCGGTCCGTGCACCCAGCTCGGTCCGGCCTGGCTCGGACAGCCTGGCGGTGGCTGCAACCGCTGCGCCCGACTGTGGCCGGAGGAGGCGCTGGGGACTATTTGTTCGTCTCCCCTTGCTGCCCTCGGTCTTGCAGTTCAGACCTAGGCTGGCTCTCCAGCCCCTGGACTCTGAGCTACCGGCCGCGTGTCCCGGGCTCACCGAGCGCCGGGCCAGAGCCCGGAGCAGCCCGGGGCACGAAGGGTGGGATGCGGCCCGAGGCAGGCCGGCCTTCAGACGCGGCCCCCTGGCGCCCGAGGGGAGTTTTTTCCCTGTGCCTCTCTCCCTACCCAAACCCACCCCTCCCTACACATACCCACACACGCTCTCTCACAGCTTGTCGTGTTGTTTAAAACAGGTGGAAGACCTCTGTAATGATATTATGCCTTTCAATAAAAATTTTATGAGGTGTATTTGATTATAGATTAATGTGTCCCTAATAAAACGGACGGATGGAGCAGCTCGGAGGGCCTCCTCCCCCTACCACACTCACACACGCCCGCGCAGCCACACACACCCCCGACGTGAGGCTGAGCACACGCGGCGGCCCGAGGGGGGAGCTGGGGCAGCTGGGCCCGCCGACTGGGTGCGGCGGCGGCCACCGCTGGGGCTTCTGTGTGCCCTCGGAAGTGCTGGCAGGCTGTAGAGTAGGCACCGCGGGGACTGTGGCGGCCAGGATGCCTTGTCTTCTCAGGGGCTGCTGGAAAGGCCCTGGAATAGAACACGCCATAGGGCAGAACCCAAATGCAAGCGCAGGCCCGCTGCCGCCCACCGCCCCAACCCTGCCTCAGAGAGGCCCGCGGGAAGCGCATCTCCCCGGGGCTGGGCCGCCTCTTGTGGTGGTTGTCGGTCCACTGTCTTCCGAATTCTTCTTCTTCTTTTTCTTCTTTTTTTTTTTTTTTTTGCCCCCCAGAAGTAAGGCCGGGCAGCCTTGAATCTGAGGGAAATGCCCATTGTCACTCCCAAATCCATGGTACAAAGCCTCGGAAGCTCGGCTGGGAGCCGAGACAAAAGCAGCCCGAGAGCAGGCGGCAGAGGATATATTCCTCACTCGACAAGTTGCTCAGGGCACCCTTGGAGGGATCCCAGCCCACCTCGAGCCCCGGAAAGGAAGGGGGTAAATGCCTACTTATGGCCTGATTGATTGCCTTTGCCAGTGGCTTTCTGATTTTGTTCCAGAGGAGATGCCTTTGCCTGCAGCACAGGTTTTCCTCTGAGACATGGCCCTCTGTCAACAACTAATGGCGCTCCCCACATCGCAGGGAGGAAACGGATAAGTTAAAATTGCCCTCCTTCTCCTGCCCAACCAATGGAGGTCTGGGCAAATCTACTCCAGTGTTTCCAACCTGGCATTGATTCCGAGCCTTCTCTGTCCCACCCCTAGGAAATGGCTCCCCTCAAGGGTTCTGTCTTGGAACTGGGGAAGGTTCTTGGTTTTTCAGGAGGAAGTTTAAAACTCTGAATAAATACTGAATTTCCCAAAGACTCCCTGGATGAGAGCTGTGAGGCTCAGAGTCCCTGAATAGATAGTTTCATGGGGAGAAAAAGAAAAAGTGAAAAGGATGTGTTTTGTCAAGCTACTTGAAGCTGGTGGAGACCTTTTGAAACCACAGCATAACCTGAGAAAACGAATTCTCTGTCAGCTCTTCCCTCTAAGGCCTCTTCTCCTTTCTCCCACGCAGGGCTAGATAAGCCTGGACTCCCTCGGTGAAGGCTGGCTGGAGTTTTCCAAGCTATGTCGGCAGCTGGAACATTGGACTTCATGGGAAGTCACGTTCATTTGCAAAGTCCCTTTCAGTCACCTTTTGTTCATTTTCTTGCCTCCCAGATATAGTGGCTCCAACCAGCATTTTATAATTAAATAGAGGGAGCATTACCTGGGGGGGAAATCTTTTCAGAAAATTTTAAGAAAATTTCATGTGGGCCACTAAAAGCTAATGAGCTTGAAATCCTTCCACAAGGAAACCAGGGCAAAGTGGGATGGGAAAACTCACCCATCCTCGGCTTCGCTGTGGCCTGGCTTGTCTTGTGCTTGGGATGGGGGGGGGGTGAGGGAAAGGAGGGGGCAGAACTGGATCCGTTGCAGTGCTAGCTGCTGGCTATCCTTGTTCCTGTAATGGAGGCCCGGTGGCTTCCAGGTGGGCCAGACTGGTTTCAATCTAGCCCCTGACGATGGCATTCCAGCCAGAAATCACCAAGACCCCACTGAAAGTATTAAAAAATAACAACCAAAACCAAAGACAGGAAAACACACAAATGGGGAGCTGTGAAGAAAAAAGCAGCGTGGGCACAGTCTTACCAGGCTCTGGTTAGAGGGAAACATATACCCATCTAGAATTCAATTATGTTACTATCTTGGGGGGTGGGAGGGGGAGAAGACTCCCCTTCTTCCCAGCTAGGAAAACAAGCACACCCAGGCTGGATTATCACTCTCTCTGCCACTGCCAAATTTTAGCACCCTAGGCCTCCTCCAGCTTCTCCCACCTTCCTTCTCCTGCTCTCTATCACCACCCCCAACTGCCCCAAACAAGCAGTTTAACCGGAAGATAATCTCACCAAAGGCTTTCATTTCCACCGTAACGTGTCCATTTCAGAAAAGCAGAGGGAGCAAACTCGTTTCCAGAGTTTATTGCATTATACATGCGACCAGAACATGCACAGAAAGGACAGGTTGCTGTTGTACTTCTACCAAACCACAGATGCACCACAAGGGAAGGCTACAAGGCATAAGTCGTCAATATTCCATCTCACCAAGGACAATTGCTAAATTCATTTGCGAAAAGATACATTGTAATGTGCTTTTTTAGTCCCCCTCCCCCCAAAGCTTGTGGGTTTTCTTAATCTTTTTTTAAATATATATGTAATTTAAGTACTTTTAAGTACTGGATGTATTCAAAACGCCATGAGATCATGGACTAACCACACACAGAGACCTTTTGCATTAGGAAAAACATGAAAAAGTCACATTGCTGGATGGATGAATGAACTGATGGATGCTGTACAGTTCCAATAAGTTAAGACCCAAATGAAAATGCGCAGTAATAGTTACCCTGCATTACGATGAAAAAATAATAAATTACACGTGCTAGTTTTTTTAATATATATATACTCATAGGGATTACAGATCACTTGCAGCACGAACAGAATGACCCCAAAGTCACATTCTAGCAGGAAACAAAACAAAACAAAACAAAAAACAAAGAGCAATGAAGGTTTTGTTTCCGCCTTCCCCAGTCCTCCAAGCACTCGGCCCTGGAACGCGGTGCCCCCTCTCCGATCCTGGCCTCCGACGGGCCTGGGACCTAAGAGAAGGTGAGGTTGGCGGTCAGTTCTCGGATCCGGTTCTCTCGGCTCATCTTCTTGAGTTTCATTCGGCGGTTTTGAAACCAAATCTTGACCTGCCTGTCGGTGAGGTTAACGCTCTTACTGATCTCTAGGCGGCGCTCGCGGGTGAGGTACATATTGAACAAGAACTCTTTTTCTAATTCCAGCGTTTGGTGCTTAGTGTAAGGGCACCTCTTCTTTCTGCCACTCTTTGCAGTGAGCCAATTGCTGGTTGGAGTATCAGACTTGATTTCCTCTAACAAAATTAAAGGGAGAAGAAGAAAAAAAAATCAAGAATTTTTTTTTTTTTCTCTCAGTCTTTTCAAAGGTACCCTTGGCCATGACCCCACTGGCAGGCAGGCCGCTTTGGGAAATGCTGGTATTAAACATTACTCATATGAGGTGGGCCTTGGAAGGGATTTGTAATTGATGCCAGATTAGTTTAAATGCCCAAAATGACACGATGGGCGGGTACTCTTGCCCTCCGTGTCAGGGTTCTCTCTCTTTCTGTCTCTTTTTCTCTCTCAGCTTTCTGACCTGCACAAAACATTAGTACAATAGTAAACTTTCAGGATCTCCCGAGCGACATTCTAAGTGGGCAGCTCATCACTGGGCTGGAGTGGAAGAAGCAACCCACAGCCTGAACGAGACTACCAACCCCACTGCTGCCTCACATCCTCAAGTCTGCCACTTCTTCCCCAGTTTTCCTGCCCGGGCGGGGAGCCCCACAACCAGGTTAGTTGCCCTTCTCTTTCAAAAGATAACCAAGTAAGCGAGTACACCTTCTCCGACAGACCTGCCTGGGCATTGTTGTACTCCCCAGAATTTCTTGCATTCTCATGCCTTCTTGTCCCCACACAAAAGCATCCCCCCCCCCAAGAAATGTGGCTCCTTACTGTGGCCCACCTCTGGACACTGGGGGAGAGGCTTAGGGGCAGGGTTCCTTCTCAAAAAGCCAGAACCCCTGGCCCTTTGCCCCAGCCCAGCCCCAAGGCTGGCCCTGCCGGGTGGGCCCTGCAGATTCCATTCTCCCCCCTTCAGCCTTTGCCCTCTTTGCAAATGGATTGCAAAGCTTGCGGCACTTTCCCCAGACAAAGCCAAGGTTACCTAACCCCGCAGAGGCTGGGAGCCCTGTTCCCCAGCCCAAGCACCAACCAGCCCAGTCATTTCGTTCCCATTGCCACCCCCAAGCTCGCAGGATGCGGGGTGCATACACTTGAACACGAACACGGTGCCTTGGACCGCCTTAAAATCATCATCGGGTGAAAGGCAAAGCTGGGACTGCAAATCTGAGCAGGAGAAAGGAGGTTCTGGGGCCGTGTTTACGAGCCGCAGGTCTCATTTGCCCTCTTTTGTTGCATTTCAAGTCTAGCTCAGGAAAAATAAACCCAGCAAGCCCATCCTCTGCCCAGGCGCCATCA